AGAAGAGCAAAAGTTATACAATTAGTGTTCAGTATATTACCAATGAAGAATTGATGATAAAGAATAAAATACATCATTTTTAATGAAAAAGAAAGGCATTTTAAATCTCGCAGCCAAATGTTATTATCTAAAGATAAATCATTTACCAAAGAAAAAAAGAGAGAAAAAAAAGACTAAGAACATTGTGCCTGACTATTTTGTTTCTAACTTTCTCCTTGTTGTACCCTTGTTAACTGATATATAATATTCATAAACAATTTCATATACTTTCATTATAAATATATGCCGTAATTTTTGCCGTTTATCATTCTTATCACATTCAGCAACTGATCCTTGCAAAATATTTTATAATTCCATAATCCATACCATTATGTTGAGATCGTGTTGTCCCTCTCTCTATTTTCATTTCAGAGGAATTAAACAGTGATCTTTCACAGGGCCTGACTGAAATCAACTGCTGAGAAGGCAGTTAGGTCTTTGAACTGAGAGGGTGGTTAGGCTACTATGAGGGTTTTTAATGTATGTAAAATGTGTTTTGTGACATCATAATCCAAGCTCAGTGCCCTCCCCCCCCCATATATTTACATGTTATATTGTGATGAGCCTGAAAAGGTGAGGGCTGTATCCTAATAACATGATACAGATTCTGTGATTTTTAGAGGCATTGTAGTTTGGCATAATTGCCACATTCAAAACCTCTTTCTATTTCGCATCCTTCAAAATTCTCTCAGTCTTTCATCTTAAATAATCACATCAATTGTGGTTTTAAAATGTACATTCATTGTTTGCCAGATGTACTTATAAGTAGATTTATGCTTGAAGTATTTACCTGAAACCAGTTTTTCACCAAATGGCTCACCAAATGGTTCACAATTCTCATTAATTTTTGAGTCCTTGAATGGCTCAACTACAACTACAACTTTTTGATAATTATTTCATTCCCGTCCGTCCGTCCATCCATCTCACCTAAAGAATACCCCCCCACCCCTGATCATATTCAACAAGCTGTGGTTCTTCCATCACCATTTACTGGAGTATAATATTCAATTGTCACCAAGCAATTGATTCCTACTCTTACAAATACATTACCTACAAGAGTTTAGTTGACACCAATATATACTTTTCATCAACTCCATATTGCAAGGTCAGGATCTTCATTCACATCTTCATTTGCTTCTACTACATACTTCATATTTCTTTTTCTTTCATTGAGACTCCTTTCCTTTCTTCCTCTCCCCCTTAGAACTGAAACATTGTATATTGGGCTGCTTATTGGAATTTAAACATTAGGACTAGATACTGTTATGCCTGCCCCTTGCTACCCAGACTAAAGGTTAAGCCTAGTTTATGACTTTACAGTTATAACCCATAAGTAGATTTCCTAATTTATAACTTTCCTGTTTAATTTTCTCTTGAAATCTATTTAGGTTGTGAAAATTAATGGATGAATATGCCCACGAAACAAACAAGATGACTACAATGCTGATTCTAGTAGTATCATTATATATTGGATATCCTTAAAAATTGTTTGATTGGTTTAGGCGGGCATGGAGGATTTCAGAAGGTGATGTTGCTAGAGGACTCTTGTTCACTGTTGTTATTCTGTAGGCCACAGGTGTCAAACTCGATGTCACATGATGTATTATGGCTTTTTTTGCCTTTGCAAGGCCGGGGTGGGCATGGCATGCGTGTGATACATCCCCCCTCCCCCCCACGGCTTGCCAATTTGACATCCCTGCTGTAGGCCATAAAAGGATCTCTAATTTTTTGAAATCCAGGTCACATTTCAACTGTTAAATCTTGTCCTGACTGCCACAGCAAATGGCCTGGGTATTATAGCCATTTAAAAAATATTGTGAACCCCCCTCCCCCTTTTTGTGTGTGTAAAGATACTTACATAGAAAAGGTGTGTTTGTTGATGTGCCTTACTAGCTCCTTTGCTCTGTCCCTAGTTTTCCTCCCCCTTTTTTTCTTTCCTTATTTACCTAGTGTCATCCAACCGAGATCTTTTTCAGATCTTTCATTTTCGTTTCTCATTTTCAGTATTCCTTCTTACCTTCTAATTTTTTGATTTCTGTTTTTTCTCCTTTCATTCCTTTATCTTTCCTATCATCTCATGATCTTCCCCATCTTTCTACAGCACCCTCCTCTGGGTTTCTTTAATTTATCATTTCTGTACCCTTTCTTTTCATAGGTATTGAAACATGTTGCACTGGAAAGACCCTGCTTGGATCACCTTTTAAGCCTGGTGCTTTAGCAGGGCCTGAGGAAAATTTGTGGCTTCTGCCATTGAGCACCATGTTGAGCAATTATATGAAAATGCTAGAATGTTGTCAGTTTTGGAGTTGAGGCCTATCAGCGTGGTCATTATATCTCTGAAATCCATACATTCTGTACTACTAATGGGTTAGGTGAGGGAATCCAAATAATGTTTATTGTAGGGAAAAACTAGGTTTCTTGTCAACTAAAAATCATGTTGGGGACTGTATATATATATAACTCCAAAGCGTACATTGGATCATAATGTTATAATAGTTGTTATTATGGCTCTGTTTGGTAAAACAAAACAAGAGGAAACATGTCAATGATCAGAGCGTTAGAAAATAGGTTGTTGGTCTACAGTCCATGTACTGCCTGTAGCCTCAGCCACAAAGGGAATGAGAAGTTTTTGGAAGCTTTGCCCATTTTTTCTATCAACCAGTTTGTTTTCCAGGATATTTTTAGCATCCAGTTGACTGCAGGTACTAGATTGCTTGTTCCTGCTGCCATTACAAATCAGCTATCTGCAAGGGTCTGCTATATGGGAAGGAAGAAGTAATCTTGATTAGAATTGCTAGAACACAGATTCATTTCCCACACTGGGAATCCAGCAATCCATAAACAGATGACTGAGGGGGAAGTTTGTTTGGAATGATGCAAGGTTGTCCAAGTATGTGCATATGCATGTGTGAGCGGGTTAGATTGCATGCAATCTGCATGTGGACCTGCAGATTGTATTGATTAAAACAAGTTCTTTATGCAGCAGATATCAAAGGAGATCTGAGCACTGTAGTTGGCAATTTTACTCCCAGGTTGAATTGGACCATGACATATTTTTGAACTTCAGTAACCAGACTGATACGTAGTATTTTTTAAAAATACATTAGAAATAAGTTAATGTCTGCAATACATGTCCAAAAACTGCAAATATTTAAAAATCTAAATAATGTTGGGAAGAAACAGAAAAAAACCTGTTCTTTAAAAGATAGGAATAAAGGAATTACAAAAAATGACTGTTTTTGTTAATAAGAAGACATTGATAGAAAAATTAAGCTCTTGTAAATTTATTTCATATGATAAGCCATAGACTGAGCACAATGTTTGGAATTATAGTTTCTATTATTAGTTTAAAATAATTTTATAGGGCATAAGAACAATATTTTTCTATATATGTTTATCTATTTATTTTTTTTAAAAAAAACCATAATTTAAGCCTGTAACATTATTTTAAAGACACTTTACATTGATTTCTGTATTCCTTTAAATTAAACTCTTCTCTGTCCTTAAAGTTTCATCTTAAACTGAAGATTTCAACTCTCTTAACTTTTTTTAAAAAAATACAGTGTAACTTTAAGAGGGAGGATTGCATTCTATTAATTATTTAAAAAGTTCTTGAAAACTTGTCAAGATAATTTTAGATAATTAAAGGATATGTCTGAAGTATGTTTATCTTAGTCATAAAACTATGCATAATATTTTTGCTTTTGTAATCTTAAAATAGGTTATTTTATATTATATAAACAATAAACAATTTCAATTTTGGAACAATGCAGTGATTTTTTCCAAGACCTTTTCCCATGTGGGACTCCACATTTATTCAGGAAATAACAGGACCACTGTAAAGAATTATTATTGCACTCTTCAGGGGAATATGTATTTTATTCAGCTTCCACTCATTTAAAAAAAAGTGCCTAGGAAGATTTCTCATCATTTAGCACTTTATCTTAAGATTTACCTTAAACACATCTTGAGATAAAGTGCTACTTTAGAGAAGCATTTGCCTACGTTTACAGTGTGCAGTGGTGTATTAACCATTAAGCAGACTAAGCACATGCTTAGGGCACCAGGCCCAAAGGAGGCACCACAGAAACTTTTATGTAGCCGAAGCTTGGCTTCGTTTGTATGGTATGTACAAAGGAGAGGGGTAACCAAGATTTGTCAGTGCTTAGGGCACCAGTGAGCCTTAATCAGCCACTGGCAGTATGCTATTCTTGTTAAAATATAATACATAATCTCAGGTATAAACCTAAAAGTAAATATGGGAAAGTACTAATCTATGTTATAACCTAAAAACTAAACAAAATGTACTTGGGCTAGGCAATCCAAGAGGGGGAATGGAGAGAGAAAGTCCATAGCCAAGCAGTTCCAATCATAGTGGAAGGTAGAAATGGCTTTTTAAAAAACCTCTGACTAACATTTTAATTTTTCCCTCATTGGAGAGAAAGTAAGCATACCAGTTTATTTCCACCTGTTTCATAAGTAGGAAAATAAATGGGGTTTGACTTTGAGGAAGCCAGCTTTCACCTGTTTCCTTTTTGTTGTATTTGATGTTTCTCATTTCTGTTGCATGCCTGATTTTTATGAGTTTTCAATTTATATGGCTTCCCCCAACAAATAACGACATAAAAAAACACTTTTTAAAGCAATATTTTGTTACTTTATTTAGACAGGCATCCCATTTACATTTCCATTCTGGTATTTCTGGTACCAACTACCTTTGTTGTATGCTCTGTTTCTGGTATATTTTTTTGTATTACTTTAATTAATCATTTCTACTTGCTGGTTTATTATTGTTAGCTTCCATGAAGTAGAAAAATAGATTTGAAATAAAATATTTTCCAAACAAAAGTAATTTATAATATTCATGTCTTCAAAGAAACTTCAAATAAGTAGCATTTGTAAATGCAAAGGAACTGCGCTCACTACACTTTAACCTGCACCTTTTTATTATTTATTTATAGACTGGCCTTATTGTTGCCTGTTACCAAGGGTACGTGGATATTGTAATAGCCTTAGCACAGTGTCCTCATATTGATGTAAACTGGCAGGACAACGAAGGGAATACAGCTCTAATTACAGCTGCTCAGGCAGGTAAGGATATTTGCTACTCATTTAATTTTTATGTTCAGTAGTGCCCCTTTGCAATTGTGGTCCCTATGATGAGCCAATGAATATCAGGCTTTCTCCTTTTTAAAGAGAGAGACAATGTAGACCAGGCAGTTATCATCCACTTAGATTGCTCAACATAACAAGTAAAATACATGCTAGGCATTAATGCACAAAACAGACGGGTTGCCAGATGCAAAGGAAAGCTCTTAGCTATAGAACAACCCAGCTTTTCAATATTTAATCAAGGTATCACTGTGACACTCTGCCAAAAAAATAGTGAAGCCTCTCCCCAGAGAGAACTTCTAGGCTGCCTTTATTGATATGAAGGCAGTTTTTTTTTATTTGGCATCCTCCCTAGCCCCCCAGCAGTGATGGTAAAAACTCGATTGCTGGCTTCTGCAGCTAATTACAGTGTTACCCAAGACACTCTGTGCAGATTAAATGTGATGTCAATTACATTCAACAGCACCACTCCCCAGGTAATAGTTCCATTAAAGTGTTAAGGGAACCAATCAGTGCCTTTCTAAATTTGGATCTCACCCCACACCCTCAAAAACCAGGGATTAATTTCCATGCTCACTTATATTGATGATATAGATATTGTTTCCCACGCCTGCGTTGTAATTTTCGGGCTTTTGCTGACCATTGCCTAATTATAGGATTGAAAATAACCTATGCAAAAATAAAGGTGTTGCTTTTCATGAAGCATATATAGAAAATCAAGGGGGGCGAAGGCTCAGGGATTAAAGTCAGCTCTCGGTTTGAGACCCGAGCGCTGCGGGACAGGATGAGCTCCCGTTACTTGCCCCAGCTCCTGCCCACCTAGCAATTTGAAAGCTTGTGAATGCAAGTAGATAAATAGGTAGCACTTTGGTGGGAAGGTAACTGTTCTGTTTGCATTGACGTATAGTCTGGCCACATGACCATGGAAGCATCTTCGGACAACAGTGGCTCCCTCGACCAAGAAACAGAGATGAGCACCACCCCCTAGAGTTGGACCAAACTGGACAGGGAAAACCTTTACCTTTATATGGGAAATTAATAACCATCCCTAGCAAGTTAAGGTATTTAAATATCTAGACTTCAATTTCCAAATATCCACTTAGTGGGTCAGGTCACAGCCCAAACAAAACCAGCTGCAAAGGGGATCATTTGCTCCCAGCAGCATCTATGTTTTCAAAATGAGCTATTGAATCTATTGTCGTTTGGTGCCAGGTTTTTGCTCATATTCTGGTGATTCCCAGTTTAAAACCCCCAGTGTAAATTCCCCAGAACTTTTATCATGGGTTGCCCACTCTACTTTAAAGGCACTTTCCCAGTTAGACCTTGAATGCCCCTTTACAGTTGCTCATATGAGAATCTGTCACCTGAGTATAGCAAAATAGCTGCTAATAAAAGTGGAGTTAAATACCTTAATATGATATGGGATAACTATCATTTAAAGCAAGGCTCGTCTTTTGTGAAAGTGGGCAGAAGTTATGCTGTCATTATTATTATTTCCTTTGTGACTCCACCCATGCCAAGCAGCAGAGAACTTGTTGCCAAAAGTGTCACTGGAAGAGGCATAAAGTGCTCACAAGAATAGCGAAATAGGTGATTGCTCTCTCCCTCTCTTACACAGGCTGGGTGGATATATTTCTTTTTGACTATGGGCCAGATGATTTCAGGTGGTAGGCCAGATCTGGTCTTTGGGCAGAAAGGTTGCTGACCTCTTGTTTCAAGGAAAAACATTCTCTTAAATTAACAGATGTCATGAAATCTTCAACTGGCTAATTTGGATTGATTAACATATTTTAAAGACTTGTATATAAGCCTAAACAATTATTTGAAACCTTGTCATGAGGTATAATTTCTGGGCTAATCAAATGAAAGTTTAAACAAGTAGCATTTAGATAATTTGCTTTTATAGATTTATAGAAAGTAGAAGTAGCTATGTTATACCCCATTTGTACTGTAATAAGCTATCGATAAAAATGTTATCTCCCTATAGCTCCACAAAAATAATTCTAAATAATACAGGATTTAATTTATTCATAGACTTTTCCCTCATTCTAAATCTCTAGTAAACTACATAAAATAATCCTCTGCAAAGCAACTTATATTTGCACAAAGATTTGTTGTGCCCTAGAGGCAACACCACTACAGGTAGTCCTCAACTTACGAGCACAACTGAGCCCAAAATTTCTGTTGCAAAGTAAAACTTTTGTTAAGTGAATTTTGCCCCATTTTATGACCTTTCTTGACACAGTTGTTAAGTGATTCACTGCAGTTGTTAAGTTAGTAACATGGCTGTTAATTGAATCTTGCTTCCCCATTGACTTTGTCAGAATTTCGTAAAAGATGATCAAATGACCCCGGGACACTGCAACTGTCATAAATATGAGTCAATTTCCAAGTATCTTAAATTTTGATCCTATGACCATGGGGATGTTGCAATGGTTGTAAGTGTGAAAAATAGTCACTTTTTTCAGTGCCATTGTAATTTTGAACAATTACTAAATGAACTGTTGTATCTTGAAGACTGTATTTGCCTTGATACTGCCAAAAAGTTCCTTGTCTCCCACTTGACACTTACAAAAAATGGAACACCTAGGAGAAGGAAGAACACTTGTACTGAACCATCTTTCAGCTTCGGTGAGTCTTACTGGAGTAGGCACCTCTCAGCTGAGTAGCTTCTCCAGCCGCATTCCTCAAAGCCAGAGGAAGCTTCTGTGGGTGCTGTTCATGTGATGAACCTCTTCCAGCTTTTGCAGTGTTTGAGAATGTTGAGGAAGGGCTGAGGATGTCCTGTTTTTTAGGCATAATTGATAAAACTATCCTTCAATCTTTTCCTGAGAGAAAGCCAAGGAACCAGGCCAAAGAATCCAAGACCGCCTATTTGCCAGAATATAGTCTATTGTCCATAACTAGGTCTCTGCAGAGTTTTCCTAAGGATATTCAAGAAGAGAAGATCACAAGTCAATCCTAAATTCCTGTTTTATAACCTGAGTACATGAGAGAGATTAACAAGAAGCTCAAAAAAAATCTCTTTTGCAAACAACACCAAGGAATGTCAAAAGCAGGTATAAATCAACACAACAGTCCCCCAGTGTGGCCTAATTACTTTCCTGAAAAAGCTCTTATCCTGCCAGCTCTTGAATTCAGGCATATGCACTCTGTTCTTTGCCTCTGTAACCTCAGTTGCCTTCTCTCTTTTGGACAAGATTTGTAGATTCTAGTAGACCATCATCTCCAGCTGTATCTTTTCTTAGAGAGGTGGCTATCTCTTCAAGCTGTTCCTCTTTAAGATGCCATGTTTTCTCAGAGTCCAAGAGTTATTAACTCTTCATCAGAGGAATCTTGAGAAGCAATATGACAGTAAAAAAAAAAAAAGTAAAGTAGTCTCAAGGAAGAGCTTCAGTTGAATGTTCATGGAAGCAAAATATCTCTTTGAAAAGAGACCTTTTGTGGGCAGGATTTTCCTATGCATAACATTTAGTATGAACAGAAACATTTTAAAGTTATAAAATATATATCCAAAAAGTAAGGAACCTTGTATTTTTTTCTTCAGTGTACTGTGCATTTTTATTCCCGAACTTAAGAAACTTATTCCTTATGTGCTAAGTATGTTTCAGTTTGATATTGGGGGGGATTAAATAAACCAGATTTGCAAAGATACTACTTATTTGCTCAATTCAGCTGACCTCCTGAAAGTTTGTCAATTATTTCTCCAGGTTGAATAAAAGCTCAATTATTGGCCTTTATAATAAGTTCATGGAGAATACAAAAGTGCCAGACTAATAATAATTAAAAAGGAAAGCTATTCCAGCATAGATTTAATTCTAAAACCTGGTGTGACTGACTAAAATTCTGTGAAGAGATGGGAAGAGTGAGAGAAAGCCGCCTTGTTGCATCTTACAGATCCTTCATGGTTCATCTATAGCTATATCTATGCCAAGATCTACTGAGAAAAAAAAAGAATTAATACATTTTGAAATCTAAAAAGAGAGAGACATGCAAGGTTATTTATTAGCAATTTATATGGGTCAGGGATTGTCCAAGTGTGGGCCCTCAAGGGGAATTTGAGGCAGCAGATCAAACTTCAAGTATTTTCCTTCTACTGCTTTCTGAGCAGTTTTACTAATTGAGTGCAGGTTGTATTGCGCAAATCTTTTTTATCATTTTAAGGAATCATAGTATCATTGATTGGGGATTTTAGCATTAGAAAAGGAGTCAAGCCTATTCTGGCATATTGCCATTGGACACAGGTTGGCCAGATTCCCATCACTTTACATGATTTATGAGAAAAAGACAGCATATAAACCTAATAAATAAAAAACAAGAATAACACGTGGGATTCCTATATATTCCTTTATAACACTGGAGATGAGCCCATGGATGAGTATCAAGCAGCCAGTATCTGAGACTTTCAGATAAAAATTGTTCATTGCAGCCAATGAAATGTTTCATTGCAGCCAATTCACAGATTTCAGGAGGGAAGGCCTTCCTCAATGAAGTACCACACTGAGAAAGTGCCTAAAAATAACTGCAAGATAACTTCATGAAGTTCTTGACATGCAAAGGAGCTAAAACTAAAATGGAGACGTGTTTCTGGTTAAATATTAATAGTAAAGGTGATATTTTTGCCAAAGGAGTTCGGTTTGTGTTGACCGGGCTAATATTTTACCGAATCATTATTCCAAGATTCTGAAGAAGCTTATTTTAGTGAATTTCCTGTGGCAGTTATGGTCTTTTAAGAAAATCTCATATGCTGCAGCTTGCTTTTTGAAACATTGTCCCTCATTGTCTCATATTGTTAATATAGGGATATCAACTTTCACTTCATAACTCTTGAATAACAACAACCTCAAGCCCTCCAGATTTTGTTTAAATCATTTATTTTCCATCAGAAATATATCCATTTCTCTAAGACAACCCAACATTTTGCTTATAAAATTTGGCAAGGATTATTGTGTTTCTGTTAAAATACCTAATTGCCTTGTCTGTTCTGCAGCTTTATTAATGTAAAACAGCTTAGTACGTAAGCATTCCTATTCCTAATAAATAACTGGAAATACTTTCAAGAATATAGACAGTGTGCTTACAGAGGAATTCTTGATGGCTGCCATAGAAATTATTTCTGACCCAGGGACAAGATTGTATGAGCAACTTGAGTTAACATTTAGCCTTTTATAATTTAGTTCTTGTATATTTACTATTGTGTTCCAGAGAGCTTATGAACAGATAATGTAATGTTCATGGGATGCAAGCTTCTTCTTGCAGCCATCCGTAAGTCCCCAAATGATTGGGCACATCTGTTAAGAAGGAACCAGTTTCACAGAATCCAATTATTTTACAGACTGGTGTGGTGGTTTTGATTTTGCTCACTTGCACACCACACACTTCCAGCTGTGCAGCCCAGTTTATTTATTTTATTTATTTATTTATTTGATTTGCCAATTGTTTACAAGATAATAAGTATAAGTGTATACATAGTTGTGAATACATGAAATGGGTACATATAAGAAAAATAAAAGAAGAATAAGAGAAACAATAGGACAGGGACGGTAGGCACGTTGGTGCGCTTCTTAATATGCCACAAACTAGTACCAGTCCCTGACCCAGGGGCTGGAGAATCCTGTGCTAAGCAGTCTGGCAGGGATTTGTTTGGTAAGAGTCAATGGGAGGTATCCTTGTTGTGCATTTCTTTAAGCTTCATGTACCTGAGAAGGAAGCATAAATTTGGGGAAATTCAATGTCTCTGAACTGACCTTGTATTTCCTTCAGCATTGTTCAAAGGTTAATGGCTCTGGAAGAGAAAAAATTACTCTGAAAGAAAAAATGTAGCTTCAGATAAGGGAAACAAGTGGGGTACATTCATTCCATGAACATCTTAGTGTCTGTGCCATTTATGTTTCAGTTGGTATTTAAATATAAGGCGTGTTTATGTGTATTAGAGAGAGAGAGAGAGAGAAAAAGAGAGAAGAATGAAAATTTTCCTCTGAGCCTTAGCATATTATAATTTTAAAAATCCTACAAAAATTAACTATGTAATATTTACACTGATTTGAAACCAATATTCTTTTTTTGTTCTTTTTGTAGGACATATTAACATTACACAATATTTACTCAACTACTATTCCGGTCTTGATATTGAGAAAAGAAATGCATTTGGATTTACTGCACTTATGAAATCTGCAATGCAAGGCCGAAGTGAATGTGTCAGAGCCTTAATATTAGCAGGTATACTGAATTCTTTCTTTCATTGTTTTCTTTCCCATTGAATTGTTGTACATTATCCTCAATGAAAAACTTTATTTACTTTCAGAGCAGGTTTGATTGTCTATTATTTAATGTGCACAGTAAATATAGGATTTGGTTCCACAGTCATATTCTTGAAACCATTCATCATCATCAACTCTTTATTCAGTTATAGATCCTCATGTAGAATATAGTACTTGCAGTTATTTAAATTAACGTCAATAGAATTTAAGTTAATCATGACAGTTTCCCAATCATTTCAGTGGTTTTACTATTAAATCAATCCATTTTTTTCATATTACTGTTTTCTACCATAATATTTCTTAGGATAAATCTCAAATCAGTAGGCTAAATTATGTAACATATTTGCTGTATATCATAAATTGTAAAAATAATAAAATAAGCATTTAACAGTTTTCTGCAAACTGTACATGAAATTTGCAGTGAGAGTAGCTTCTGTGAAAAATCCCGATGCCAAATTTGGAGAAAGTTTTGTGCAAAATAAAAGCATATATTTCTAACCATGAATAGCTGGAAAATCACTGCACTAAATTTCTATTAAAAATGGCATATTTAATCTCATCAACAAGAAAATTTAGCCTGGAAAATGAAAGCTGTTAAAACTGAGACGCTAAGCAACACATAGAAACAGGATGGAACTCAGTCTTCAAATTATCCTGTCTTAGCATCAGAAACATAAATTTCTCTGAGTGTCTTTTCTGCAAGTGTTCGGTTCTCTACTACATGGCTTTTTAATAGTATTTAGTAATATTAGTTACTTCTTATATTTTCTTTCTTTTTGTTTCTTTTGCCTTTTATGCACATGGAACATGACTTCTGTTTTTCTGCTACTCAACTCAATTGTCAAATTCATAGACACTGAAGAGCACGGGGCAGTTGCCTGCATATAACTATATGCCTTTGGTCATCTGTGTTATCGTGCAAACTATCCACTTTTCCCATCATTACTGTACTAGCCCAGCTATAAGTAATCCTCAACTTACAATCATTCATTTAACAACCGTTGAAAGTTATGACAGCCTCATAAAAAAGTGACCTACATGCTCTCCTCAACATTTTGACTCTTGCAACACCCTTGCAGTCACTTGATTGCAATGCAGGTGCTTTGCAACCAGCTTACATTTTGCACTCACATGATCATGATTTGCAACGTTCCCCACCAGTTTCTGATAAGCAAAATCAGTTGGGGAAACTGGATTCACTTAATGACCACATTATTCACTTAATAACCATGGTAATTTGCTTAACACGACCACGGTAAAAATGGTTATAAAATCCAGTTACATGATGAATTGCTTATCAACCGCTTTGCTTAGTGACTGAATTTCCAGTCCCAATTGTGTTTGTAAGTCAAGGACTACCTGTAATTATAAATATTCACAGCAATGTTGAAAAACAGTATAGGAAAGTAATTATCTATCTTAGTCCTCTGTGGGTAAAGGGAGAGGGCAGGAATGCCAACTTGTTTTACACTTTCTAAAATGTTTCACGCATTTGCAGAATAATAAAATGGCAAGAAGCAGTTCTTGAAGCAGTTCTATAGGAAATCAACTTTATTACCAAGTTGACCTTAAAAAATAAAAAAAAATAAAAAAAAATTAGGAAATCTTTTCATCACATTTGGAAGTGCCACAATATTTGAAATTATATTTTTATATAGTTATTTGCTGACATTCACAAAGGCAAGAAACAGTGATGGGAAAGTCATTGCATAAGCCAGTTGCTTCTGTGCTTTGGTGTAGCTTTAGATCTATCTTTCACTTGTTCTTATTATAGTCTGACACAGTCTTAAATGAATCTCTTAATCATTCATGAGATTAACCTAAATTCATAGACTTACCACCTGTTATAGCAAGTATCCCTTCTGTTTGTCCTTTGGTTATGTATCTGGGTTTTTCAAAGTGAATTTTGGAGATTGTTGAGTTTGTTTTCTTTCCCATTGCATTGTGCTTTGAATGAAAAAAGATCACAAATTTCCCCCCCCCCCCCCCTTTTTAATGGGATTCATTGTAGCTTTAACATTTTCATTCTCTTGATCATTCTCTATTTTGGTCTCTAACAATAATGCAGAGTAATGGAGGAAAATGTGTGCAAGCAGGTCTCCCAGATGGTATTCATTTAAATACTATGCTGTTTTTTTAAATGCTGTCTTCACTGCAAAATGTGTTTCCTCCTGACAATTTTTTACCAAATATATTATTGTACTTTACAATGAATTCAAAAGCAATGTATTATACTGTAAATAAATTGTTAGTTTCATGGCAGCAATTTTAAGAAATAAAATACATTTTGGTGAGAGATTTTAAAAACATTAAATTCCTTTAAAATAAAACTCAATTTTATTGTCAGCCACTGAAAAATCCATTTTGGTTAGACTCTGTTACCAAAAAAGCCAACAGCACCTCCTAAACAAAGAAAAGAAATTGTTAGCCTTGAGTTCATGAAAGCCAGAAGTGAAAAAACTGAAAAGAATCTGATCTATGTACAGGCAGTCCTCAGTCAACGATTGTCCTGTTTAGCGACCATTCAAAATATGATGGTACTGAAAAAAAATAATTTTTCAGTTTTCAAATTTATGGTGGTCGTAGCATCTTATGGTCATGTAATCATGATTTGGGAAATTCATAACTGATATGCATTTATGACAATTGCAGCTTCTCATGGTCATGTGATTGTCATTTGTGATCTTCATAGCTAGCTTCCAACAAGCAAAGTCATTGGAGAAGCCAGAAGTAATATAAGTGTTGATCATGTGTGATGATCACATGAGTGTTTAATCATCACTTAATAACTGAGTCATTTTGTGACTAAGTTGCTTAGTGACCAAATTGGCTATCTCCATTGCTGTGATTAATTTAGGATTACTTATATTAGACTTCAAAAGAGCAAATTCTGATTAAGTCAACGAAGAATTAGCTAGGATACAATTGCTTGATACTGTGAAGGAGAAAAGTATCCAAGGAGGATGAAAAATCCTGTGAAAGTGATACTGGAGTCTAGACTATAAACAATTCCTTCAGGAAAGAAAAATGGGATACATCTAAGGACATTAGCATGGTGTCATGCAGTGCCATCTAAAATGCTATCAAGAAAAAATATATGTAAAGGGAATAGAAGGAGAGGTATCCCAAAACGTCTCTGCAAGCTCCAGGTCCATTCATAGAAAAGACATGTACATTTTGTTCCAACGATGAACTCTCCAATACTGTCTAACCGAGGGGTGTCAAACTCAAGGCCTGGGTGCTGGATTCAGTCTTCAGGGTGCTTAGAGCCAGCCCAAGGGGCCGGCCTGGAAACAGCAAAGGACCAGCCCGCAGTGCCTTTGCCAGCGAAAACAGGGCTTGTGGGGCCCTCACGCGCCCCTCTGCTCTGTTTTCAGCCACAATGGCCTCCTGCAACCCTCTGCCAGCAAAAACGGAGTGCAGGGGCTGTGCATGCCCCCCCCCCCGAGATCTGTTTTCACTGGCAGAGGGCTAGCAAAACAAACTAAAAACAAAACAACAGGAGAAATGTTTCCCCTTTTGCATCTGAGCATGCAAGAAAGGACAGGAAAGGAGAAAGGGAAAGAGGAAAGACAAAGAAAAAGAAGACAGGGAGAGAGCAAGGAAGAAAAAATAAGGAACAAGGGGAAGGAAGAAGAAAGGAGAATGAAGAGGGAAGGAAAAAGAAAAGGAAGGAAAGAAGGAGATTATAAGAGTGAGGGAGGGTTTCAGGGAAGTCCTGCATTAACACTTGGCCACTACAGGTGCCCCCAACATAAGTCCCATGTCAAGCCCACCATGGCCATGCCCCCCTGCCCTCTGAGGTCAAACACATGCCCCCCTGCCCTCTGAGGTCAAACCAACCCTGATGTGGCCCTCAATGAAATCGAGTTTGACATCCCTGATGTAATCTGTGCAGGGCAGTCTATGTATGGAATATTTACTCATTCCTAGAGTTCTGTTCCAATCTGGAATCAACCTCCTGAAAAACACATTTTCTTTCATGCTTGGAATACTAAAAACATTTTGCACATCTCTATCTTTTATATTGGAGTAACAACCATGAGAAAGGCAAGACAGTAAATCTTTCTTTCTCTTTCAACCTTATATTGAGAGCAGGTATTTTTTACATTCACTGAGAGGACTGGAATAAGCTGGTGAAAAGAATGAGCAATGACTGTAGAAACTGCTAGTGGAAAGCATGAATCCCTTTCCAGGTCAGCCTGGACATTATCCATTGATTAGGAGAGCTTTCTTTCTTTCTTTCTTTCTTTCTTTCTTTCTTTCTTTCTTCTTTTTTCTTTCTTTCTTTCTTTCTTTCTTTCTTTCTTTCTCTTTCTTTCTTTCTTTCTTTCTTTCTTTCTTTCTTTCTTTCTTTCTTTCTTCTTTCTTTCTTTCTTTCTTTTTTCTTTTTTCTTTTTTATTCAATATTTATAAAATTAAAAACATATATATACATTTTACAGCATTGTATGAGCAATAGATACACTTGTACTTTCCTTCTGATAACGTGTTATACATTGTCATAATAATTACTTTGTACTTTTAAACTCTACATATGCATACATATAATTTATTTACATTTGTTTACACGTCACCCATATTCAAAATGTTACCGGGTCATCAGATATCACCTTTTCTTTAGCCAGTCATAGCAGATATCCCATGTTTTGTAATATTCACTGTCTTGATTATCTTTTAGCAGTTTAGTCTATCCATCTTGGCACATTTTATTGATTATCATGTTTTCTGTAGGGGTCGTAGTCAATTTCCAATTCTAAGCAAAACTTATTCTAGCTGCAGTTATAATATGCAAGATCAGGTATTGGTGCTTCTTTTCAATATTTGGTTCTAACATGCCTAGTAAAAAAAATTCCGGTTTGAATTTTACTTTCTGTTTTGTTATATCCTCTATCCAAAGTCTAATTTTTTGCCAAAATTTTCGTGCATGCAGTGTGTCATATTAGAGAACATTTTGGCTAACTTCGTCGGTGGTGCCAGCGATGAAACATTTTATATAAATTCTCTTTATAAGAGACCCACATTGTTAACCTATAGCTTGCCTGCCAAAGATGTTCCCACTGGTCCAAGTTGATATTGTGCCCCATATTTTTAGCCCGAGTTATCATGCATTCTTTGATGGTTTCCTCCTTCATTTTATAGTCTAATAGATACTTGTAGGTTTTACTAATCATTTTTTTCTTCTCCTTGCCATATCTTATCTAGCTCTTGTTGGGTTGTATAGAAGCCGAATTGTTCTTTGTCCTTGTTGTAGTGTGCTTGTATTTGTAGGTGGGGCCACCATCCTATCTCAATTCCCTGAAGTTGTAGTTGATTCCTAGTTTTTAATGCTCCTTTTTCATTTAACAAATCTCTGTAATTTATGATTTTAGTACAGTCCAAAACATTGGGATGTATTACTGCTTCTATTGTTGATAACCATAGTGGCACCTTTACATAATGATTCCTTTTTATTTTTCCCCATGTATTAAGCAAAACATCTCTCACCCAGAGTCTTTGAAAGTATGAGTGGTGTTTACTCTTCCTGTCTCAGATAAATGCATGCCAGCCAAGTTGTAGGTCAAAACTCTCTAATGTTAGAATCCTTGTTTGTCAAATTGATCCAATCTTTAAGCCATGTGGCTACTGCCACCTGGTAGTACAATTTGAACTCTGGGAGACCAAAGCCTCCTTTCTTTCTAGTATCTTGTAATAGTTTGTATTTTATTCTGGCTTTTTTCTTCTGCCATATAAATTTAGAAATGTGTTTTAGATCTTCGAAAAATTTTCCCCCCAACTTGACTGGCACCGTCTGGAACAGGAATAGCAACTTTGGTTGCTATTCTTCTTAATTATTGCTATCCACCCTAATAGGGAAAGTTGAATTCTGGCCCAATTGTCTAAATCTTTTGATATTTGAGTTGTCAATTTACGATAGTCATCCCTTTTGATTGAGGAACACTTAGCTGTCAACCAGATCGCGAGATATCTTATTTTGTTTACTACCTGCATGCCTAATTTGCTTGCTAATTTTTCCTTTTGTTTTTTTCTGCAGTTTTTCATTATTGTTTTTTTCTCTATTAATTTTCAGCCCAGCCACCTTTCCAAATTCTTCTATTTCATTCATTAGTATGGTACTTGTTTCTTTTGGGTCCTCCATTATGAATGCCATATCATTGGCAAAGGCTTGGAGTTTATTCTCCTCTTTTTAAATTTTTAGTCCTTTGATATCTCGGTTTGTCGTATTTGTGTTAATAATATCTCTTCTGCTAGTATGTACAGCAATGGGGCCAGGGGACACCCTTGCCTCACCCCCTTATTTATCTTTATACTATCCATAATTTCTCCATTCACTATTATTTTTGCTGTTTGTGTCTTATAAAGGTGAAACTCAAAAAATTAGAATATCGTGCAAAAGTTCATTTATCTCAGTAATGCAACTTAAAAGGTGAAACTAATATATGAGATAGACTCATTACATTCAAAACAAGATAGTTCAAGCAGTGATTTGGCATAATTGATGATTATGGCTTACAGCTCATGAAAACCCCAAATCCACAATCTCAGAAAATATAGAATATTGTGAAAAGGTTCAATAGTCTAGGCTCACAGTGTCCCACTCTAATCAGCTAATTAAGCCATAACACCTGCAAAGGGTTCCTGAGCCTTTAAATGGTCTCTCAGTCTGGTTCAGTAGGAATCACAATCATGGGAAAGACTGCTGACCTGACAGTTGTGCAGAAAACCATCATTGACACCCTCCATAAGGAGGGAAAGCCTCAAAAGGTAATTGCAAAAGAAGTTGGATGTTTCCAAATGTGCTGTATCAAAGTACATTAATAGAAAGTTATGTGGAAGGGAAAAGTGTGGAAGAAAAATGTGCACAAGCAGCAGGAATGACCGCAGCCTGGAGAGGAGTGTCAGGAAAAGGCCATTCAAAAGTGTTGGGGACTTTCACAAGGAGTGGACTGAGGCTGGAGTCAGTGCACCAAGAGCAACCACACACAGACGGATCCTAGACATGGGCTTCAAATGTCATATTCCTCTTGTCAAGCCACTCCTGAACAACAAACAATGTCAGAAGCGTCTTACCTGGGCTAAAGAAAAACAGAATTGGTCTGTTGCTCAGTGGTCCAAAGTCCTCTTTTCTGATGAGAAGAACTTTTGCATCTCATTTGGAAACCAAGGACCCAGAGTCTGGAGGAAGAATGGAGAGGCACACACTTGAAGTCCAGTGTGAAGTTTCCACAGTCTGTATTGATTTGGGGAGCCATGTCATCTGCTGGTGTTGGTCCACTGTGCTTCATTAAGTCCAGGGTCAACGCAGCCGTCTACCAGGAGATTTTGGAGCACTTCATGCTTCCTTCTGCAGATGAGCTTTATTAGGATGCTGACTTCATTTTCCAGCAGGACTTGGCACCTGCCCACACTGCTAAAAGTGCCAGAACTTGGTTCAATGACCATGGGATTACAGTGCTTGATTGGCCAGCAAACTCGCCTGACCTGAACCCCATAGAGAATCTATGGGGCATTGCCAAGAGAAAGATGAGAGACATGAGACCGAACAATGCAGAAGAGCTGAAGGCCGCTATTGAAGCATCCTGGTCTTCCATAACACCTCAGTAGTGCCACAGGCTGATAGCTTCCGTGCCACGCCGCATTGAGGCAGTAAATGCTGCAAAAGGGGCCCAAACCAAGTACTAAGTACACATGCCTGCTTATATTTTTCAGAGGTCCGATATTGTTCTATGTACAATCCTTGTTTTATTGATTGCATGTAATATTCTAATTTTCTGAGATTGTGGATTTGGGGTTTTCATGAGCTGTAAGCCATAATCATCACAATTATGACAAATCACGGCTTGAACTATCTTGCTTTGCATGTAATGAGTCTATCTCATATATTAGTTTTACCTTTTAAGCTGCATTACTGAAATAAATGAACTTTTGCACAATATTCTAATTTTTCAAGTTTCACCTGTAGATTGTCTTGATGAGTCCCAGAAAGTTTTCGCCAAATTTCATACCGATCAGTTGATTAATAAGAAATCTCCAATTCAAATTATCAAAGGCCTTCTGTGCATCTAGGAACATCAGTGCTATTGTTTTATTTGGGTGTATTTCATAAAATTCTAAGACTTCCAAATTGATCTCTCTCTCTCTCTCTCTCTCTCTCTATCTATCTATCTATCTATCTATCTATATCATCTATCTAATTAATGCATAGAATTTATATTTCTGTATGAGTGCATGTGTGTACTTCTATGTTTTTGTTGTAAGAGAATGGTTGGTGTATGCGGATGAGGTAATCAGTCAATGTAATTTGAATTCCTTATTTTAAGAAAATTAATTTTAATCAGTGATTGTTTCATTCTACTTTGATTATGCTAATTTTCGTAAGACTACAATATTAATGCAATGTTATGCAGAGCATTATATCAGTACTGTACTTCAAACTTTAGCATAGCTCAAACCTTATTATCAGACTATCAACCATGATAACAATAGCAATCAAGAACTACAACTTTTACAACCTCTCAGTTCAAAACACATACAGCATGACCTTAATTTCTCTCTCTCTCTCTTATTTCTTTGAAGGAGCAAATATTAATGCAACAGATCCAGGTCGTGGATTTACTCCTCTAGAATGGGCATGTTTCACAGGAAGAATAGAATCTGCATATCTTATACAGAGACTTATGGATAAGCCATGTGCTGAGCAATTTTGTGATCAATATTTGCTTGAATGGCCAAAGTTGAAGGAACTTCTTACTAAGGCTGCAGATTCAAAAACTTGCTTGCAGAAGATCTCAGCAACTTTGAGATCCATTGTAGATTTCAGAACTTTCCATGGTCCTGAAGAAGATGGGGTCCTTGATCACATGGTTAGAACAACGACAAGTTTAAGAAGCTCCTTCGTTGCCATAGCTTGCAGAACTGTATGCCCTGAAAGTCCTCCTGCTGTAGGAAAACGTAGGCCAGCTGTGCAAGAAATTCTTAGGAAACAAAGAGCTAAAGAACTTCAAACTTTGGAGAGCGGGGAACATTTTAACAGCTATAAGAAGTTGTTTCAAAATTCCAGAATTATACTAGTCTCCAAAAGGAAGGAACGGAGGGCCAGCCTGCAGCCTTGCCATTTAAATGTGCCCCAGGTCAACATTGTGGTTCAAAGGAAAGCCAGCCTGTTACCACTGCATTTGTTAAGAAGAAGCAGTGTTCGCCCTGGACTTTTCATCCCCAGAGTCCGTATAAGTAAGGCACCTCGGCCTACTTTCCAGCCAGAGGAAGTGCGACGGAAAAGTAATGCCAGTGATGGGACCTACTTGGAGATTCCCAAATGGAGATATAAGGAGCTGAAGGAACAAAGGAAGAAGGCTGAAGAAGAAAAGAAAAAAGCCGAAGATTTACAAAAACCCACCTTACCATCTCTTCAGAAAAAAAGAACTTAAGCCAAATTGCTGTTGGTACCAATAAATAGATTGACAGGGCATATTATATAAATTTAATAAAAGGAAGGTGAAACTGAAGATCACATTTGTTTTAAGAGACTTAAGAACTCCAAGGCAACTGTATGAACAAGGTTAACATATGGAAAAGATTTTTTTCTACAATTTTAACAATTATCTTCCCCAAAGTAAAGGGCAATAGGATTAAACCCCAAATAGAGAAGCCATGTCCTCAAATTTACAGTTTATGGCAGCACTGAAGTACCATGTCCCAAATATCAGTCTTCTCCCTGGGATACAGGATAAAATCCCCATCCTGCCCTGGACTTAAGTTGTCACAAGGTGTATTGACACAAAAGTAGTCTTTTCCCCCCGTAAACCAATACTCTCCCCCCTTGTTTCAAGGTACATACAATCTGTGCTGCTTTCTTATTCATAATTTGAGAGGTGAGGTCCTAATAACCTCTTGTGGGGGTGATCACGGAGAGCATGGAGCAGGGCCTCTCTCCTCTGGTCACTTGCCAGCTTTTGATGCAGCAATTGCTTTCTGAGGATTTGCACTCCCTATTAGCATTTCTTAGCAGAATTCTTTTCGTATCCTTGCTTTTGCCCTCCTGTTTTTTAAAATCAACTTCTTTCCATGCTTCCAACAAGGTAGAGAGAACAGATCTCTACTATTTTATCTGGGGAAAGTAAGAGGCTTTGCACAATTTCATATGATTGTAATCTGAAGTAGCATCAAAGGGAATCTGCTTTTTTCGATGTAGCTCTGCAGAGTTTACAAAATGAGTGGTGCTAAATTAGCTTTTGTCCTATTTGCCATGGATATCATATTGTTACGCCCCTCCTCACTTTCACACCACAAATAAGAAAAGTGGTTGCCCAGCAGCTGCTCACTTTCCATTCTTCTCCACACAACCTGGTTGGTTGTACATTCATGGTAAGGTTTATCTACCTCCTTCCTTTTGGGTGGCTATTTTTGCCCTGGTGTCTTCCCTTCAGTTTTACTTTGGAACATGGCCAAATGGGAAGTGAGAGAAAGAGCAGATATATCAGTCTGTAGACCTCAAGCAGAATTGCTTAAACAGATCCATCGTGTTCATGCTGCTGTGCTCTGATTGATGGATATAATCCTACATGATGGGTGTAGTACTGAAGGGGGAGCAGCCAGGAGAGGAGAATCAAAAATCTTGCCCATAATGAATGGTGCAGTTTCAGATCAGGACAACATTATTTGGTAGCAGTGGGAGATTCAGTAGAAAGATTGGCAATACAACAAGCATGTTTTATGCTTAGAAATATGTTTAATTAATAGTAGGGAAAGGCAAAGAGAGTTTAAGAAATATCCTTAATAACCACAAAGCAATAATTAAGAAAAAGGGTAGGTTTTCAAGGGAGTATCTAGAGAATTAGAAAAGAAGGAATCGACAACATAAGTTTCTTATTCAGGATATATGAGAGATTTAAAGTTTTTTTTTCTCTCCTACATACAGAGGTTCAGCTTGTTGCTTGCCTGTAGAAAATATGCCAGTCTGAAACATTTTTAATGAATATAAAATCTCAGGGGAAATTGGTAAAACAAAAACCTCACGTAGAATTTATGTTTTAATTTTGAGAACTAGAAATAAGGCAAGCAAAGGACACCTGTGTTGCCTATTGGTGAAAGGTGTTTATTGCTTTGTTGCTAATCTGAAAAACAAATCTTTTTTAAAGTTAATAAAAATTCAGTTTATTTTATAGTAACTTGCTCCATTTCTATAAAAACCACCTCAATTACTTTTCATATATATTCAGTTTAAAATTTGATCAACTTCTATTATAGACTTGAGCCCAAAATAATTGTAACAATTGCATTTATTACTAAAGAGATGGAATAAAAACATGTATTTTCTTTATACTTTTTAAAGATATATTTAATACATAATCACCTCTTCTGGCTACATTGCAAAACATTTAAAATCTCATTATTAATAATCTCAGATTATTCTTCAATTTGACTGTGGATGACTTTATGTGCTTTTCTGGCAAACAGATGTGTTTTTGCCTGCAAGATTTTACTTTCCAAGGATTTCTTGGTAGTCTCCCATCTTAATATTAAACAGGCCTGTTTAGCCCTTTTAAATCATACAGTCAGCCAGGTGCTGTCACCTAGCAGTCATGGAAGCTATAAGGTAATTGCACTGCACTTACATTTACTGGCATGTTAAAGAATCAGCTTTAAGAACTAGAATGATAAATATCTCATTCCTCAAACTGCACAACCTGTACCAATCCCTTTTCCCAGTTAAAAAATTCAGTTTTCAAGGTAAATACCCCATAGGGTTAATAACAAAAAAAATAAAAAATAAAAATAAGGGCAATATCTGTCTGAAAAAAAGTTTTCACTGTGCATTGAACTGAAAATACTTTACAGTGCAATCCAATCAGTCCCAGCTCAGCAATAAAATCCACTGGGTTCAGAGGGGATTATTTCCTGACAGGATTACAGCCATAGTTAATACATGCTTGTTCCATGTATGCAAGGCTATCACAAAGTGCCTGCTTGCACTCCTTTGTCAATTCTGTGCCAGCTAAAACTACGACTCATATAACAAGCAAGCAAGATATATTAATTTTTAAGGGCATGCTATAAGGAGATGGATAAAGTTATAATGTAATTGGTAGATGAGATTTTAGATGCCAGTAGCAAAATGGTTCTCAGATGAGCTCTGACATAAAAGGTGTATTTTCTTCAGAGCCAATATAACATACTTCTATATAAAATCAAAGTCATCTTCCTCCAAATCAATCTACTCCAATAAGAGGTACATGCATTTGCAATTTAATTATTGCAAATTAAATTACAAATGTGCTTGAAATGTACCACTGTATTCACTCGGGGATGAAGTTCAGTAGTAATGTTGAAGGGTATGATTTGTGTCAGCGTATTATATATTGATAAAACAATAAATTATGCTTTCATTATGGAGTATATTATTTCTTGAGTTTTGTTTGGGGCTGTTGTGTTATTTTGTCCTGATCTCTCAAAGTTTCAGTTTAGTCCAAATCTCGGTTTTAATTTCCGTGTCAAGACATCTGTTGGATTTAGCAGAGCCGCTAAAAGGCAGCCAGTGCTAAGAGAGAACAGCTCAAGACTTGGAACACATGGAAGGAACCCATATCAGCTGTTTGGGACTCACATTGAAGAATGTGGATATATTTTTTTTAATATTTCTGATTAGGCAGTATATGGCAGCCTGAGTCTTCTGGTACAAAACATTAGCACCTGTTTGGCTGATGACTACATACACTTTCTTTCTGAATTATTTTACCAGTTCAAATTTCATTTTCTTAGTAACACATATAGGGTGTTCCAATTCCATTCAACCCTGAGCAGCTTACCCTCCATACCCAATAACAAGATTAAAAACAAAACAAAACAACGCAAGGACATAATCTGTGACAGCATCAAAGCACAGATCATTAATCACAGTCCTCATGGCAGAGAGATCAGAGACAAATCATTCCTTCTGCTATAGTTAGATCTTAATAGCTTTCCAGAAAACTTGCAGAGAAGCTTTCCAGAAAAGAGGGATATTAAAAGAGAAGACGGGTCACTGGTCTGGCCCTGACAATTTTCTTCTGGAATTTGGCTACATATTTTATTCAGATTTTTCTAAAATGCAAGTTGATCAGAATTATAGTCACACCCTTTAATTTTTTAACAGTTGTAATGACTTCATCTTTTCAGGTACAATAATCTTATTGATCAGAATTTATAGCAATATTCTTCATCTATTATTAATATAGGTAGTTCTCAACTTACAATCACAATTGAGCTCAACATTTTTGATGTTAAACAAGAGTTGTTCAGTGAATTTTGCCCCATTTTACCACCTTTCTTGCCGCAATTGCGTGAATCACTGCAGTGATTAAGTTAATAACATGGTTAGTAACCTGGTTGTTAAGTGAATCTGCCTTCCCCATTGACTCTGCTTGTCAGGTCACAAGGTGATCACATGATCCTAGAACACAACCATCATAAATACAAGTCAGCCGCTAAGTGTCTGAATTTTGATCAAGTGACCACGGGGATGCCATGGTTGTAGGTGTGAAAAACGGTCATAAGTCATTTTTTTCAGTGCTGTGACCTTGAGTGGTCAATAAATGAACTTTAAATCGAGGACTACCTGTATCTGTAAGCATTATTTCTAGACTATCCACATTTTAACCAAACGAGGATGAATCTTAATTTTACCTTTGCCTAGATATCTTTATTTTAATTCTTAGTCATTTTTGTTCTTTTCTTTTTAGTTTAGAACTCTAAATTCATTTGAACAGGTGGAGATTAAAGTAGAACCATCTGCTCATCATAGCTAGATAAATTTTCTTCCCAGCTAAAAAAACAGAATACCAGTTGATTTTTTTTTGTAGTCCGTTTGGTTGCACACAGGTTGAATGGATGAGCAGAATACAGATAGATGAGCTGTGAACTCTGCAGTAAAACTAACATTCTGCTCCCAAATAATCTAGCTATAAAATTTGAATTCTGCAAATCTATCCACATTATGAACATTAGATTAAATGATTAAAACTTTATAGTTTCTCTAGTTGTATAATATAATACACTGTGCTATTTAGCGTTACTAATTCTAGTTATTTATAGCACAGAACAAGGATTTATGTTAAGTCAAGAAAGCTTCACCCTGGGAAATATCCTTCTCCCATATTAAGAATTCAACTGTGCCTTTATCAGCTTTATAATTTCAACTGTATCTGCTGAATGGGTGTGTGATCTTGTTAAAAAATAGAAAAGTTATTCCCCAAAAATCTAACATGTAGTTTTACATCCATGTAGTTTTGGTGCATACAGAAAATAAGTGACAACAAATATAAAAGCTAACTTCTCTGTGTAATGCAGCAGGTGTACCATTTCCTTTATACCTGAATTGACTAACAGAAAACTATATACCAATAATCCACAAATTAATTGAGCCCAACAATTATGTTGCTAAGTGAAACATTTGTTAAGTGAGTTTTGCCCCACGTTACAACTTTTCTTGGAACAGTTAAGTGAATCATCGCAATTGTTAAGTTAGCAACAGCTGTTAAGTGAATAGGGCTTCCTCATTGGCTTTGCTTGTCAGAAGGTCACAAAAGGTGATCACATGACCCCAGGACACTGGAACTGTCATAAATATGAGCCAATTGCCAAGCATCTGAATTTTGATCATGTGACCATGGGGATACCACAATAGTGTGAAAAATGATGTCACTTTTTTCAAAGTTGTAACTTTAAATGGTCACCAAATGAACTATTGTTGAGGACTATCTATCTGTACTGTAAAGCAAAGCAACCATCTCAAGGATATTCATTTTTGTATTATTTGGATTGGAAGTAAGACAAGTCAGCTGGTGATATGGGTTATTTTATTAAAATGCTATATTCATCTTCACTGGAGACTTTTGAACAGCCTGGATCATCATCTGACCAAAATACTGTAGCAGATCCTGTACTAAGCAGAAGCTCAGAATAAATGACCTTTTAGGATCCTTCCAACTCTGTTTCTATGAAGAATAAAAGTCAATATCTATGTTCAGTAACAATCAGGAAAGTTAAACTATCATCATAAGAGAGCCATATTTGAAATAATAAAAAAAATCCAATTTGTCCTTCCCATAACCATTTCCTTAATTCACCAATCCTGCTTGAAATAACATGCCCTTTGCATATACACATGAATTTTGAGGTAATATTGATTTCTGCAACAAAAACATCTTCCAAAGTTCATTGCTAAAAAACTACTTACATGTAGTCTTCAACTTACAACCATTCATTTAGTGATGGTTCAAAATTACAAGAGCACTGAAATAAGTGACTTATGATCACTTTTCACTCTTATGACCATTGTAGCATCCCTATGATCACATGAACAAAATTTGAGAGACTTGGAACTGGCAAGTATTTATGTTGGTTGCAGTATGATCATCTTTTACAACCTTTGGGCAAGCAAAGTCCATGGGGAACGCGGATTCACTTAACTCTTTTACTAACTTAACAGCTGCAGTGATTTACTTAACAATGGTGGCAAAAAAGGTCGTAACATGGGCCAGAACTCATTTAACAACTGTCTTGCTTAGCAACAGAATGTGCGGGCTTAGTTGTAGTCACAAGTCTAGGACTACCTGTATACCAATGTTCATTTGCAATAAACAATTTGATATATGTACATCTACAAAGACAGTTTTTAGGATAATTATTCTGAGATATTTAAAAGTTAAAACAAGTAAAACCACATTTGCAAATTTCTAGATTCATTAGAGGTTACAGGAAGTTTATGGTACATACCATAATATCATGAACAAGCTATCAATTGCCAAATTGCTATAATATGAATACATTTTGGCATAATTATTATATATTTGGTAAAAATGTAGTTTACAGTCCACTAGTTGTCTAGGGCAGTGTTGAGATTCAAAATTATTTACTACTGGTTCTGTGGGTGTGGTTTATTTGGGGG